TAATCACCTGACTACAGAAACACAGGCTTTAAGAAAAATACCAAATATCCTGTCTTTTATGATGAAGCCTGCAAATCTCGGACCCTTTGATTAGATCCCCTTCCTCACCTGCGTGCCTGTCCGCAGTGCAGCGAGCTACAGGAGCCCATGGTCACATGTGTGATGTGGGTTTTTCCTGGCAAGCACCGCATTGTAAGAGCCAGCAGCCAGTTTGGCATCTCAGCGTCAGTACTTGGCGATAAACAAAACTTATCGCTAAGGATTTTGGTGCTGTAACCCATGATTTCCGCTCTGGTAAGAGAGAGGAAAAACAAACCATTGGTCTCGCATGTCCATGCAGCTCTTGGCATCCAAGGGGATCCCAAAAGCCAGCAGTCCACTGAGATGGGAATCTTGTTAGAAAGGGATGTAGACAGCCTGCATGGGATCATAAAAATCTTTCCTTCTTTAACTGCCCCTGCTCCTGGCTGCCGCCTCTGGTAAAACCCAGCAGCCCAATACCAGGGCTCTCGAAATATCAGATTTACGAAAAGGGTTGGTCCCCTAGGAAACTGGCCTCGCAGATGCCACTTCTCACGGCTGCCACCAGAGCATTCTCTGTTTTGTAGCAAAACTTAGCATCCTCGGCGCTGTTTGTGTTACTGAGGGCCCTGGGTGAGCCCTAACTCACCTGTCCCCCCCCCTGCCCCGGGAGAGGGGAAGGGACGCCTTGCGATCCACGTGTGACCTGTGGGAAACAAAGTCGCAGAGCGAGGTGGGTCTGTTGAGATGACCAGATTTCTGAAAGGGATTAACGTGATGTGGCAACTCTAACGCCACAAATTGGGATGACAGTTTGCCTAGAGAGGAAGTCACACTGCAATAAAAAGAATCATAACACCTCAAACAGCCATTTGTTGCTGTTGCTTTCTTTGCTTGTTTTCACGTTCACGTGCCTGTGGATGTCTGGGTATGGTGCTGTAGACTGCTTCATGGTATCCTACAGATCCCCTGCCAGTCTCTAGGCTGCAGGTTGCGGAGCAGCGCTTTGGTATTTAGACAGGGCTGCCTTTCCTTAGAAGCGAAAATGGCCCCAAGCTGGAGGAAACACTAACAAGAGGCCATTTCTCTTTTGCTCAAACCCAAAAATAAATAGCATATAAACAAAATAGTATTTTCGGATGAACTGGATAAATTCTTGGAAGAAAACTTCCCCCTCAGGATGATGGCATGCAGGAAATATCTGAGCCACAAATCTCGGGGGGCTGGAAAATACTTGGGAGAGCAAGCGCTGCTTGTTTGGCCTCTCTTATCACAGAATCACAGAATCGCAAGGGTTAGAAGGGACCTCGGGAGATCATCTAGTCCAACTCCCCTGCTAGAGCAGGCTCTCCTGAAGCATTCTACACAGGACTTCATCCAGGCGGGCTTTGAATACCTCCAGAAAAGGAGACTCCACAACCTCCCTGGGCAGCCTGTTCCAGTGCTCTGTCACCCTCAAAGTAAAGAAATTCTTCCGCATATTCAACCGAAACCTCTTATGTTTCAGTTTGCACCCATTGCCCCTAGTCCTGTCGCTGGACACCACTGCAAACAGACTGCTTCCATCCTCGTGACTTCCGCCCTTAAGATATTTGTACGTGTTGATAAGGTCCCCTCTCAGTCTTCTTTTCTTCTTATGTCAGCTCCCAGCAGATGGTCACTGGCAGGACGCAAGTTAAACAGTCCACGGACTTGACTCGGGACAACTCTTGCGAGTCAGCCCTTATTTGTGCGTAATTTGCTTTTCTCTCGGAAAACCCGGTGGAGCAGGGTGGCAGCAGGTTTGTTGAAACGGGCGCATGCACCTCCATGCCTCACTGCTAGTCACCTTCAAACCAGGCAAAGCCCCCGGCAGACGTGCCGGGCAGCCCGGGGAAGCAGCCTCCGCCGGCTCCCAGCCGCATCATCTGGATGAGGCCTCCTGGGTCTTCCACGTCTCTCCAGCGTGAGAACAAACGCGCTGATCGGCCTCTGAACCACTGGTGTCTGGTTCAAGAACTTCTGTAAGAACTTCTGTAAGAACTAATGAGAAATAGCAAAGCCCCTGCTGCAGCAGCGAGCGTCGGTATCGGACCGTGTGTACGCAGCACCATCTAGTGCTTTACTCAGATTTTTTTTATTCTCCCCCCCCTCCCTTCCCCAAATCTGTAGTGATGAATTCAGGGTACATCCTCTCACCCCCGGCACACGGCTAGTCTGCACGCTGTCGGAGGGCTCACCACGAAGGTCAACGCTGCATACGCCCATAGCAAACGTGTGGCAATTTGGGAGAGGGAAAGGGCAAGATCAGAGGTGCGTTAACATCCCAGGCCGTAGGGGTTGGCTGAGATGCCGGCGTGCCACTCCGACCTATACCTGCAAGCCATCTCAAGCCCACCCGGGACCGAACATCCCGCTTTCCTTGAACCCTAATTCCAGAATCGCAATAAAAGTAATGAAAAATACTTAGCAAGGGTTTGGAATCACTTCGGTGCTCTCCCCTTCCCCACAGCTACAGAACCAATGCCCTCAGCTGATGCTGGAGGGTATTACCTCCTGCAAGAGGGAAACAGCCAAGATTTAACTAATCGAGGAGCTCTGTTTTTTTGGCGTTCCTTAGGACCCGTGCTGTTACCCCCAGGGACTGGAGGAAAACTCCTGCCTGGGAGCGAAATGACCTGCCCAGCGTTAGGCTGAGGGACGGCCGCCAAGCCCAGGCTCCC